CTCACTCAATTTAAATTTATTTTGATTTTAAATAATAAAATTCCATCACCTATTATATTTAAAATTTAACTAGCTTGTTAATTTTTATTGTTAACTAATTGCAAAATCGGAAATCCTATAATATTTTCATTAAAGAATAATAAACTCTCCAAATTGATCAAAGAACTTTATAAAGGAATTTGTAGTTGAAAAAGAGATACAACAAAGAGATACAATCTCTGATACACTCTGTATATTATGTATACTAAAACACTATGACACAAATGATGTAACCCGGAGAAGGGTATGAGAGCAAAGTTTCTTAATAAACGTTGACGTCGACACCGCGTGGCAATTCCTTAAGTCGATACAGAAACTCGCTCTTATGAACTGGCTAACGGATTAGAAACGAATCCCCGCTTTAATTAAGCTCCGCAGAAATACGTTAAGGGAATCCTAAAACGATCTGTATTACCGATTAAATCGTAATTTTTATATAACAATTACTTTTTTCTTCCTTAACAGACTCGAATATCCTCTTCCAGGATAAAAGTATACGCATTAATACGTGTCTGTGTAAGTGGAGTTTATGCCGGGAACGACAAAAAATTTTTCTTAAGATTTCAATTTCGAAATTTTTTTATCATTCTCAGCATAAACTCCATCTTACAAACATGTAATGCGTATACTTTAATCCTGGAAAAGGATTTTTGAATCTGTAAGAGGAAAAAATAATTGTTATATAAAAATTATAATTTAGTCAATAATACAGATGGCTTTAGAATCCTCTTAAGCGTTAAAAATAGATTCTATTTATATTTAAAAAAAACTTTGAATTTTACATTATTAGCGATCTAAAAGAAGGGACTAAAAGAAGGGACGTCATTCACTCTTTTTTATAAAAGCCTTTGTTATAAAAATAGGAAGCTTAATTAAAACTACATTTCTGACGTCAATAAACGTATAGACAAATTCGATATAAAAAAGATGCACATTATTAATATAATGTATATATCAATAATAATAATTACTTTTACACAAGAGTTCTGATATAACTATAAAACAATCTCCTTTGCTTTGATACATACAAAAGCGAATAATCGAATGAGTCATTATATCGTGATATCAACTTAGTGCACTGTCATTAACGGTTTAACGTCATATTGTTACCTTTCTAAGTAAACATTTCCGGACACGTGTTTACACAATTTTTTCTTACGGTTTTTTTTTTAATGGATTCAAAGTATTGCACATACTTTAGAATTATATTTATACATATATGTGTGCAAATATATATATGTGTATATTATATGATAAAATTTTAATCTGTGTATTTTCAGAATATATTTAATTTATACGTGATATAAAAATGAATACTATTGCAAATAGCTTATCAGCTAATATATTATGCAGAAAAATTATGAAAAAAAAAATTTGCCCCCAGAGAGATTTGAACTCTCGACCCCTGGTTTACAAGACCAGTGCTCTAACCCCTGAGCTATGGAGGCTTTCGATTGACACCTTTTTTAATACACTTAAAAGTAACATGACGTAAATTATATTTAATATATTAAACAGAAATATTATTTTGATTGTAGCAAAATTCTCCCTTTTTTATTTAACAAAATAATATTGTTAATTTAAGAAAATATGAAATATTTTCTTGCAAAAAAAAAGAAAAATGTAAAAAAAGAATTCTCAAATACATTAATTAGTATATATTTAAATATAAAAATACTTTTATAATATTAAATTTAAATTTTTTATTTTTTAATTTTTTGTTGATAAAAAAAAACGTCCAAGGTATTGTATTAAACTAAAATTAATATTTCTTTTCCATGTTGTTTATATTAGAAAGACATTAAGAGCTTGTTTTAAAAGAATTCCGAGAATTTAAACAAAAGAGAATTTGTTCAAGTAAAATATCAGATTGTTGCAACGAATAAAATTGTTCATTTAGGAAAATCATGTCGTGGGATTTCTACTTTACAATGCAGAAACATTACTCCAATTTTTCTTTTAGTTAAAAAAGAATCCGCTAATATATTCTCAGTACCTTTGAACCTTTTCTTTCAGGACTACGATAAATATTAAATATTTATTTGCATATTTATGAGGAAATGTTCGCATATGCCGCCACCATGAGTTTGCGTGTTGACGCTTCGCATTTTATTTCGCATTTTCCAGATACTCGGAAATTTCAGCGAAATCTCAAATCTGCTGAATCGTCACGTTTCGCTAAAACCATACATTTATTTACGTTATTTCCGAATCTTTCAATTTGACGAATGAAAATTTAATCTTTTATTTCATTATTAAATCTCAACAAGAACTCTAAGTACAGAATGATGTTTAGATATCATAGTACGTACAATCGAAATAAACATATTAAATATAAAAACACTGTCTATTCCATTCATAAACGTAATACTAAAAGAACAGTTTTACTGAAGTGTTTAAAAATTGAACGAGATATACATCTGAAAATAATTTTATTAGATTATTAAAATAATTATGTGGGGCGCTCAAACTAGTTGCTAGAATGTCAAAACTTTTTGCAGCATTGCTCATCACGCTTAAGTTTCTTGTACAATTATTTTGATGGTACAACAAAATTATTTTTAGACCTGTATTTAATTAAATTTTCAAAAACTTAATCGTTCTCTCTATACCGTGTACTACATACTGTGTACTCCAATGAAGTTGTCACTATCGTTTTTTTTGTAAAGAGATAATTTGACGTGTATTTTCTTATCTCCTCGTTTATTCTTATCGCATTTACATAACAACTATATACCATTCAGACACAGAGTGTTTTGAAAATGAGTTTGAATGTTTTAAATCATTATAATTTTGTAATATTAATTTTGAAAATGTAATTTGGCGTAATAACTGATTATAGAAGAACAAAAGTATGTCTCTTAAAATATGTTCTTTTTTTTTGTTTCCGTTCATTTTTTGTAAGCAATTCCAAAAAGCAAAATTTTTTAGTTATGTTGCAGCAAATCAGCAATATGTATATTTGTTCTAAGCCTTTATTGCGCCCCTCACCTAAAATAAATTAAAAAGAGATTGATACACTTCAACATTGTATACCTTTTTTAACAAAGCACAGATCAATTAAAACAGCAAAACACGCAGTGTTTATACCTACTACGTCTTTGATTCTGTCAGTAAAAAAAAAAAATGAGCGTTTTACTTATAAATCTTAGGATGACAAACAGGGTGCGATGTAAAAGGCTCGTGAAAAGCGCCTTCCATCACTCGTTTTTCCGCCAAATAAGCTACGAAATGCGGCGGAGGAAGTCGATGAAGGACAGCCCGTCGTAATGCAGCCAGTTCTGCTGTGTGCGCAGCCACTGTACCTTTCGCATACCTTGGAGAGTGCATCCTTGAGTGCGTTCGCCAGGCGACAAAGTCCGCCTGCGCGTCGTAAAATCGCTACATCGCTCGCCTATCTTAAGCTGCCGACTTCGCAATGTCAGTGTAAACTTTAAAGGGTGAAAGGAGAATAGAATAAAATTTTATGCCAGCATCGCTTGAACAAAGTTCAGCTCGCACAAAGGCATTCTTACAGTTGCTATTATTATTGAATGTATTGTCACTCATTAAACGTGATTTCCGCAAACTGAAATTTAATTTTTACAAAACGTTGTAAAGATCGACGGTACATCTTATGTCAATCGTTCTCCAGTTTCTTCCACGAAGAAGAGTCTTGAAAAAAAAAAAAGGAAGAAATTGCGCACAGTTTCGCAACGTAATTTTTTACGACGCTGTAACTTTTTAGACGCTTGAACGACCGTCTAGGGCATCCTCACTGCAAAAATGCGAAATAGAAAATTATTCGATAATAATTAAGTTCGGAATTAAAAACTTTAACAACCGGAAATTAAGACAGAGGCAAGAAACTAACGAACTACGTTCAAGGACTGATTAAGTTCTGACAGGGCTAATTAAAAGCGTTTCGTGCTATTCGTCGACTCGTGAAAATTGTGCTGATTTGATTAACGGCGTATATACGACATTACGACGGAGAATACGTAAAAACGCGCGATTATTTTGAGTTTGTGCATCTACGTCCACGAAAAAAAAATAAAGGCGAAACGAATGCTTTTTAGCTGAAGGTGGAAGCGGAAGCATTTGTTTGTTTCGCGTTATAAAGCACGTCGTACATTTCCGTTTGAGTAATCCTCCGTTTTTACTACAAAAGCAATTGCTTTGCTTTTCCACGCTGAAGTCTGCAGCCGTCTTTTGTCATTGCTATCACGTCGGCTAACATAATTTGATTATCTTTAACGAGGTAACGATCGTAAGGCGAGTTTTTAAATTCATCGACTGATCAATCGCATTATGCGCAAATACAACTTTGTAAAAGTTACATTTGCACATAATGCGATTGATCAGTCGATGAATTTAAAAACTTGTCTATATTTATCTCAACGATTGATCTTTCGAACTCATAATATATAATTATGACATCGCGATGCGCATATATTAGTAGAAGATAATTAGAAAGTGAGGTATAATTTCAAGTATACCAAGAAGTCAACTACTTCGTACAATGTCGAGATATTTACTTTCACATGTATCGAATGTACTACACCTATGTCACTCATCTCCAATATTATTATAACTTTTTACTGACAGAGACAAATAATTGGACAAGCATTTTTGTCATTAAAATTTATTGTACAATATGTTTAATATTTTATAATTTTTGTTATTAATATTTATTAGATAAACACAAAGGAAATATGAATATTCGTACACTGAAAAAAATATTTCTAAATTTTAGTAAATTATTTTATTTGAATAGTACCATCTAAATATTTACTAAATATGAAGATATATATCTTTAGTGCAAGAACTATTAATTTGATTTACTAAATAAATATTTATTCAATAAAAAAAATAAATAAACTTTTAGCTGGTACTATTCAAATAAATATTGATTAAAATTTAGTACTTTTCCCTAACATACATTTTGCATTTAACTATTTAATTAATTAATTGTGATCGACACTGTGTCACACTTGATGCTAACTTGAACAACTTTTTTTATTTATAAAGTAGTTCAGGATCAAGTGGAAATGAAAGGTCAACTCGTAATCCAACTTCTGTTCTCTTCAACGAGGATGCAAGTGCATTCCCTAGCATCCTCCGCACGACATCCTGGAGTGCCTGCTATCAAAATCCAAGAAGTTCTCGTCAAGTACGATCGTCCGAACGATTGTCTCACAGCACGATCGTGCCGGTCTATCCCGCCCTGATAGTTGCACGCCTATTGCTATATATTATCATTAATATTACTCTAATCGTCTCTATATGTTGATGAATGTTCGATTATAAACATCGGCATAGTTGATGCGTTATAATCACGAGACGAACGATCCGCGTTATAAGACGCAATTTTCTACTTATAGAGAAATTAGCATCGCGCAACGGACACAATCAAGGACGTGGCATTAAAATGCAACACAAAATGCAAATATGATTTTGTTGTCGATATGTTATACTCACTACCGAGCGACACGCGAGGTCAACGAAAGAAAAATCTATCAGGATGTAATGGGGTATAATGATGAAACGTCTCTGATAATGAACGGAGGTCTTATCCTCGTACGCCCGTTATGAAACGTGTTTATGCGAGAGGGATTGCACATGTATCTCAAAAATCATTTGGTTCATTCAAGCAGATGTATCGTTCATTTGCTATAACAATAATATAATTTAAAAAATTGTGATTTGTGTAGTTGCTTGCAAAAAGAGTGGATTAACATAAAAAAGAAAAGAAAAATCATATTTTAAAAGTATTTTCATTTCTCTATATAATTTCATTTATTGTATCAAAAAGTTGCATTTTAAAATTAAAATTACAGAATTTCAATGATTTAAAATATTCAAACTCTTTTTTATGGAAAACTTCATATTTTTTACTTGTGACGTTGTCGTTATAACAAATGAACGATATGCTGGCGCTTTAAATAGTGTATTCATCAAACTGGAGCAATTGCGATCAATGACGCGCGGTTTCATATATTAGAGATGTAATGAATAGAAACTGTATACAAGATGTCTCATTTTACTAGTATTATAACGCATTTTAATAAAAGATCTTTTTATATAAATATTCCTTGGAATTGAAACGCCGAGACACGAATTAACTTCTCAAATTAGAAACAATTGAAAAAATAAAAATCTTTTCATAGGTAAGAGCTGCAGAAAATGTAAAGAAATAAATAATAGAATATGATTCTTCATCGAAAATTCACCGTCAAGTGAATTGAGCTCAATTGGATTATTTAATAAGATTTTAATTTCAGAATCAATTTTATAATAAAATATGTATTATATAAATTTATATTAATACTGAAAAGACTGTAAATAAA